TTTTAAATACATTAGAAGTTGTAGTTCCATGAAGAGTTGTAATATTAGAGTTTATCTAGGTGATATCATGGTATCATCAGCAGAAGGAAAAAATTTTCCATCGATTTTTAAATTTTTTAAATTAGTTATGTAATTTATAAAGATAAGGAAAAGTAGAAGACCCAATACTGAACATTATGATACTCCACATAGAATGGTTTTGTGACTAGTAGTTGTTACCTATTCGCCAAGTAAGATTGGAACCATTTGAAAGAAATATCTCGAATTCCGTAGAAATTTAGTTTTTTATCAAAATGTGCTTTAGACAATCAAAAGCTTTAACATAGTCACAAAAAACAGTGACAGTTTAAAGATTATTGTTTAGAGCTTGGTAAACCTCATGTAGTAAAGAAAATATAGCATCACTGGTACATTTATTAGATAAAAAGCCGAACTGATTTTGTGATAAAATTTCAACAAGGAAGGACATAAATCGGGCTTTCATAAGTCCTTGAATAATTTTGGAGGTTACCGGTAGTAAGGCAATATATCTATAGTTGCAGGCATTCAATTTTTGGGCTGTGTTTTTTTTATTTTGAACATCTTTTATTATGGACCAAGTTTCTTTTGCTAAGTTTTTAGAGATTCCCAGAATATTTGGATAGTACGCTTTCTTAGAGGCAAGATAATTGGTTTTCACTGATTAAGACTAAGTAACAATAGTTTGACTTACGTGGGCACCATGAAATAAAATAAAAAGGAAATTCCTTCTTCTTTTCTATCAAATAGAAAGAGGGAGATAAATGCATCCTATATGCTTGCTGTCATATGCAGGAAAAAGAAAAAGAAGTTACAAATCCTCAATGCACCAGTGTAAAGACACTGATTCGCAAACGAACAAGCCAGAAATGGTATCGATCTACAATACGACCAAAGGAGGAGTCAACTCACTAGAGGAGAAATGTTCCAAAAGTACTTGCAGAAGTTGTACCCAAAGATGGCCAATGGGAATATTTTTCCCATATTTTTCCCAAAACAGTTAATAGAACACATATGCAAAGACCGGAAAACATGGATCATATTCCAAAAAAAAATAAAAATTTGTATACGTCGGCTATTAGGTATTCAAGAAAAAACTGCGACAGATCTTGTAGATGACGACATCGGGGAAAAAGAAAAATATGCTCGATTTGCCCAAGTAAAAAAAACGAATGACTAAATACCTTTGTACTAATTGCAAAAAACCGATATGCCTTCAGTGCACAAAATAGGGGAAATGTGCCTATGATGGTCCCCTTAAGAAAATAGCTTCATATTAATTTTAATTATTTACTTGGCAGACTTTAAATATGACCACATAACGTCTCGTTATTTGTACAATATGGCAAATGTTTTAAATTTTGCAGAAAAAGTGATGTTAAAAATTTATTCATAATTTACTCAAATCCTGTTAAGGGTCCATCATGGGCATATATGCGCTCATGATGGACCCTTTGGTACACCCATGATGGACTCGTTGCATTTTGTGTAAAATAATTAAATACCAAATTATTTTATTAGATCAAAAGACATTACAAACGATAAACAATATTACACATGGTATTTTTAAGAATAAAAAAATTAGGCGCACAATTCACACACAAATTGTTTATGTTGAGGATTTACATCTGCACATTCAGTGTGACACCAATTCTTACACACTTGACAACGAATCCATTTTTCATTGGATCGTGAATGCGAAAATAGTTCGTTACAGTAGATGCAAGCTGCATCGTCCGAGTCGCCTTCTACAAAAGAGCATTCACAATCGTCTTCAGAACCACTTGTAGTTGAAACACGAACTTGCCTTTTCACTTTTCTGGCGTCTTGTTTCCTTTTTTTTGCTTCTTTGTCTGCAATTTTTTGTTTTATATCTTCAATTTCTGGCGTTGAATTTAAATATCCTGTTTTACCCCGTTTTCTACCCCTTTTCTGCATTACTTGAGATACTCCAGCTAAAGGAGGAGGACAAATATCGTCTACCGAGATGTTTAGAACTGAAGATGATGTTAATTTCTGATCAGTGGGGCTTTTTGATAAACTTTCAATCGAAGAAACATTTTGGCTCCAATGTTCCGGTGGTGACTTCTGGTCAGAACATTCTGGCAGTGGGTTTTGTTCAGAATTTTCTCTATCTGTTGTTATAGACGGCAAAAATTGCCAATCATCGAAGACATCTGGATTGAATGGTTGTATTCCTGTCTTTTTAAATGCATTGATTGCATTTGATGGTAAAGCACTTTTTAAATACGCTCTATTAAAGAGACTGGCTACTTTAAATTGGGTCACCGTTTTACCTGGATTCTGTCGCAGCCATAATTGAATTTCTTGGCCGTAGTAAATTTGAAGTGGTCTAAAAAATCCTACGTCCAAGGGTTGAACGTGATGAGAACAGTGAGCAGGAAAACAAAACATAATAATACCGTTTTCCTTTGCAAACTGGAGAGCTTCAAAACTTTTGTGACTACCATGGCCATCGAGTAACAACAAAACTTTGTTGGTTTTAGAAGCCTTTGTATACCTTAAAAAATGTTGCAGCCACAAATAGAAAATATCGGAAGTCATCCATTCTTTTTCTTGAGCGAAGGCTATACTTCCAGTAGGTGCATCGATCATAAGTTCATCTTTCTTTCTCTGTCGAGGAAAAATCAAAGCAGGAGGAACATATGTTCCAATTGCATTCATTGCACATATGACCGTAACATGTAGACAGCGCTCTGCACTACTTAAAGCACCAACTTGTTTGCGACCTTTACTGGCATAAATTTTCTGCGATTTCTTTTGCACAGTTGTCAAACCGGACTCGTCCATATTATAAATGTTTTCCGGTGGAAAGTGAAACTCGTCTAATATATTTGCTAATGCAGTAAAATATGCACATATGTTTGGTTTATTAAAAGCTTGAGCCCTTGCCAACGAAGTATTTTCTGGAGTGCATAATGATATTCGAGGATTTCGCTTTAAAAAGCCTCTGACCCATTTCCAGCCTGCCATCCTGGTTTCCTTATTAAAATTGTGGCTAATATTGTTTCTTTCAGCTACTTCGTATACAAGTTTTCGCAAATCTTTACTAGTCAGGCCAAAAAAACGAGTTTCCATAGTAATAATATGGTCAGCAACTTCCTGTTCAATAGTAGTGGAGAATATTGGTCTTCGTCCTCCCAAATCACCTTTGATACTTCCTTGATGCTTAATAAAGCGCCTTTTCAAAGTCGTTTTTGGAACGTTAAATGTTTTTGCTGCCAGCTTAAACCCCATAGTTTTTTCTTGTATGCTTTTTAAAGCTTGTTGCATATTACTCTCGTTCCACTGTTGCCTTTTTGTAGAGCCATCCCTGTAAAACATATTATGTTAATCATTAAGTAACAAAACCTGAAGGTGTGTCCAATTTTATTTTCTTTTTCCTATGATGGACCCCTAGTCCCTCATAGGTAACGACACAGGGGTCCATCATAGGCAAATAGACAAGGCAGCAAATTTAATTCTGTTACTTTTGTTTTGACCATTTTAACCTAAAACAAAGTATAGTATTTGACAAAGAAAGTGTAGTCATTTTATACAAAACAAAAGCAACACTTAGCTTAACGTATGTTACCAGTAAAATGCTACTTACCAAAAAAATTTATTAGATCAGCAACGCCAAATTTTAATTTTATTTCACAAATTTACTGTTATAACAGCCACGTGTCTGAAACTTTGCAAATACTAAACTACAAACTTCGTGCGCATGCGGCAACCGGCGATGTGTATGTAACCGCGCGCTATTTAAAATTACAGCCGGGGTCCGTCATAGGCAGGGGTCCAACATAGACACACTTCCCCTAAGTATGTATTGGATGCGCAGAAGATGAGTAAAGAGTAAGGAAAATGATGTACTTTGTTATCCTATGTTTAATTTATTTTTTTAGGTGTATATTTACTTATATACATTTTGTTATATCTGCTAAGAAATACTAGATCTGTATTAGTTAATAAATAATAATTTATAATTATTTTTTTTTTGTCAACTTTTCTAGTGTCAGGTTTATATTTTCTGATTTCTAAAGTAATAATTTTTTTCCAAACCAATGTAATTCCGTATATCCTGGACTGAGCACGTGACCAACAAAGAGGTACTACGCCGGATAGGTAAAGAGAAAGGTAGGAATAAGTATAAATAAAAGAAAGTTGGAATACTTGGGTCACGTTATGAGACATAATAAATATAGAGTACTACAGCTGATCGTTCAAGGGAAAATAGACAGCAGAAGGGGTCCAGGGAGGAGAAGACACTCGTGGCTCCAAAACTTGCGGCAATGGTTCGGATTGTCATCTGCTGAACTATTCAGATCTGCCGTAAACAAAGTCAGAATAGCCATGTTCATTGCCAACGTTCGGAATGGACAAGGCACATGAAGAAGAAGAAAAGAATGTAATTGCAAATGAATGTAATTAAGAGTTTAAAAATATATTTAACTAATTTTCACAATAAACATGCAAAAAAATTGTTTTTATTTAGGGTAGTCTCACAGATGACATGTCAGTAATTGTGTTCCAATTTTCGTATGTCAGTACTTAAGGGTTAATACAAAATTCACTGTGTTATCACAAAACAAATGGAGAAATTTTTTCTCCTCGTACCTAATATAAATTAATACCATCATAGTTTTATTTCAACAATTATTCAGTAACGACAGCAAAAAGTTGGAAAAAGATCCACTTTTTACAACTTATAAAAAACAAACTGATTAGAAGAAATAGTGTTATCAAAATAAGTTAAATACAGTGCCTGTTAGGTGTCTTTTTAAAGCATATTAAGCACCCTAATAAACCTTATCAAGATAATGTAAAACATCTAAACACAAAAGAGGTAAAATATGTCAAACAATCAAAAGTAAATACATTATGACTTAATAAAGATTAAGAATATAAATATTTTCAAACATATTATCTATTCATAAGAAACTAACGACACAAGTTGATATTTTAAATTGAATATGTCTGAGTATTGTTAGTGCAGTCGTCGCATTTGGAGAATTTTGGTAAAAATGACTGACGAGCATACTCGACTCACTGATCCTGTTTATAGGAGTCTCAGCATAGACAGACGGGACACTTTAAGAAATGGGAACTCGCCGGAGAAAAGAAGTCGCTGGTTTTTATACCTATCTGCTATTGTAGGTAAGAAATCTGTATCTAAAACTTATAATCTTTTAACGTTATTAAAATCATCATTATTTTTTGCTTGGAGTACCATATCTGTCTTCCGTCAGTAACCTGTCCGATTATCAAGCGATAATAACTTTGTTTAAGCAGCTCAAAGCAGATTAGCGGATGTCTCTTAATACATCTTCTTCTTCTTACGGTGCGTATCCGTTCCGGATGTTGGCGATCAACATGGCTATCCTAACTTTGCTTGCTGCTATTCTGAATAGTCCGGTTGTCGATGTATTAAACCACTTTCTCAGGTTTTGAAGCCAAGATATTCTTCTTCCCCCTAGTCCTCTCTTTCCAAATACCTTGCCCTGAAGAATGAGTTGCAACAAGCCGTATTTCTGTTCATTCCTCATAACATGGCCAAGATATTCTAGTTTGCGCTCTTTGATGGTGTTAATAATCTCGCATTCCTTGCCTATTCTACGTAGGACCTCAACATTAGTCACATGAAATATCCATCCACCATGATAGTCATATACACCCATGAAATGTCGTATACGTCTGTAACACCACATCTCTAATGCCTCGAGTTTTCTTAAGGAAGCTTCGGAAAGTATCCAGGCCTCTACTCCGTATAATAAGGTAGAAAATACATAGCATCTAATGAGAGAGATTTTGGTAGCAAGTGGTAAATCATGACTTCTGAAAAGAGACTTCATCATTATGAAATCTCGCTTTTCCTATGCGTTGTTTTATTTCACTGGAGTGATTCCATTGGCTGTTAATGTTAGTACCAAGGTATGTGTAGCTGTCCACTCTGTCAATTGGATGTTGGTTAACCAAAAGCTGTGTATTTAATATTTCGCGCTTACTGACTACCATGTACTTTGTTTTCTTCGTATTAAGATCAAGTCCGTGTTCTCTACTTATATGTGACATACGCGACATTATTCTTTGCAAACCGTCCAGACTATCTGTAAAAACTACTGCGTCGTCGACATATCTAATGTTGTTTAGACGCATGCCGTTGACTAATACGCCTTCTTGTAGTTCTCCCAGCGCTTGCTCGAAGATATATTCAGAGTATATATTAAATAACACCGGGGACAGAATGCATCCTTGCCTCACTGCACCATCTATGGAGACTGCCTCTGTCAATTGATCATCCACTTTAATATTGGCTGTTTGGTTGTAATATAAATTATAGATAATTCTCAAGTCCCTATCATCTAACCCGACTTCTTTCAAGATGTTTATAAGTTTATCATGTTTTACTCTGTCAAATGCCTTTTTGTAGTCGATAAAACAAATATACACACCGCAGTTAACATCCCTGCATCTTTGCATAAGCACTTGGACAGCGAATAGAGCCTCTCGGGTGCCTAAGGAATCGCGGAATCCAATCTTAATACATATCTCAGAGATTTCGGAGTCTCTTCTTCCGGCAATCTCGCCTTGTATCATGAGGTGTAGAAGAGAAGGTTATATCTGTGTGGATGCCTTATTCTTCTTCTTCTTCTAGTGCCGACTCCAAGGAGCGTTTTTATAGCTGGGTCATTTTGTTCCATCCGCATTACATGCCGTATCGACCTCAGACGTCCTATTTTATTATGTTTTACGATATCAGGTTCCTGATTCTATAAAGTTCGAAGTTGTATCATCTTCTCCATACTCCATTGTCATTCACTGCTCCATAGATTCGCCTTAGTACTTTCCTTTAAAAAATATCCTAACCTGTTTTCATTTTTTTTTTTTTTTTTTGTTAGAATCTAGGTCTCTGAACTATATTTTAGGACTGGGTGTATTATCGTTTTGTAGAGTTTTATTTTTGTATTTCTCGATATAATTGTGAATTTACTTACATAGTTTCATACACCTCTCGTACAACGTTTTCCGTTCTCCCAACAATATTGATATTATCAGCATAGGTCAGGATTTGCACTGATTTATTATATATTGAACCAGTGGTTGTGATTTGTGACATACGTATTACTTTTTTCAGAGCCAGATTGAACAGTAAACAGGAGAGAGAGTCTCCTGGCGCAGCCCGTTATTTGTTTTAAAAGGTTCTGCATATGGTGCCATACGGTGACATAGTACTCTATGTAAATTATAATGGTCATATCATCATCATCATCACGTAGCGCTACAACTCTGGGTGGGTCTTGGCTGACTGTACAACTTTTTTCCACTTTGTTCGGTCTTCTATCAACCTAGGTACAAATGGAATGTTCATTTTCCGGAGATCTGCTTGGATGTTATCTCTCCATCGCATTCTGGGATGTCCGAGTCTTTTGCCTGTGGGAATCTCCTCCCGTACCAGATTCACAAGTCTTTCGTTATGCAGTCTGTGCACGTGGCCTGCCCATCTCAGTCGCTGTGATTTAATTTCTTGGACAATATCGGCGTCGTTGTAGAGTGCTTTTAATTCGATAGTGCTTCTGATCTTATACTGGTTTGTGGTAATGTCATGATGAGGTCCGAAAATTTTTCTAAGTATTTTTCGTTCAAAGCGTCTGAGCTTTTCTTCGTTGGCTTTGGTCATGGTCCACGTTTTGCATCCGTATGTTATTACAGGTCTGACGATGGATTTATAGATTTTGATCTTTAAAGTTCTTGTGAGATTTTTTGATTTTATGAGCTTATCCAGTGCAAATAGACAACGGTTTGCAGATTGGATTTTGTCTTTTATTTCTTCAGTGACATCTTTGTCAGCTGTGATTACGACCCCCAGATACTTAAAACGTTGTACTCTTTCGAAATTGAAGGTGTTGACCGTCACATTTTGTCCTATTCTGTCTCTTCGTGTCGTTCTATTTATACACATATATTTCGTCTTCTCTTCATTAATCTTCAGCCCTACTTCACTTGTTGCTTCTTCCACCTTGTTGAAAATGTCTTTCGTGGATAGGATGGAGTCTCCAACGAGATCTATGTCATCTGCATATGCGAGTAACAGCTTGGGACCTTGAACCGATAGCAATTCTGTTTTTATTTCGGCCGACCTCATGGCTTTCTCTAATACAAGGTTAAAAAGTAGTGGATAGAACGCATCACCCTGTTTAAGTCCACTGTTGGTTTCAAAGCTGCCAGACAGTTTATTATTTACACGTACCTTAGATATTCCAGCCTCTATACAGACTTTGGTGTTTGAAGTTTGAAGTGTTTGGAGTTTCTTTGGTATTGAGAACTACGCCATAACATTCCATACTTGGCTTCTTTCTACGCTATCATATGCCTGTCGAAAGTCTATGAAAAGATTGTGTATGAGTCTGTTATACTCCCATCCCTTTTCTAGAAGTTGTCTCAGCGTGAATAATTGATCTATTGTTGATCTGTTTGCCCTAAACCCGGCTTGATATTCGCCTAGGACATTTTCAGCATAAGGGATTAGTCTACTAAGAATGATGTTTGAGAGGATTTTATATACCGTGTTTAGAAATGAGTTTTCTCTATAATTCGCGCATTTCGTTTTTCCCCTTTTTTGTGGATGGGCACCATTATGTTTTCTTTACATCGCGCTGGTATTCTTTCTTCTAACCATATGTGCGTTATTAGCTGGTGGATTTGGCAATGTAGTGCGTCTCCCCTATATTTCAGAAGTTCTGCTGGTATCTCGTCCGTACCCGGTGCTTTGTGATTTTTCAGCTTATTTAAGGCCTTTTGGGTTTCTTCAAAGGAGGGATTTTTGACGGGCATGTCTGCTGTGATATAGATCTCTTCTTGGTGCTGTTCTTCCTGTATGATGTTTAGAAGGTCCCTAAAATACTTTTTCCATTCTTCAGTTACTTTTTTACCGTCGATTATCATACGGCCTTGATTGTCTCTCAGTGTATGGATGGAATTGGTTTTATGTCCTCTTTTCTCAGAGGAGATTGCTTTATAGAATTCTCTGGAGCCCGGTTTGGGCCGGTCTCTCTCCATAGCTTCATATTTTCGTTGTTCATAGTTTCTTTTCCTTGTGCGTATTATTTTTCTTGTTTCTTTTCGACAGTCGTCATATTCCTTTTTATTTTGGTCTGTTTGCAGTTGTATCCAAGTCTTCCTTACTGTTTGTCTTTTTTCCAGCTGTTTCCGACATTCCTCGTCATACCATGTTTTTGACCTCTTCTGCCTACTCCTTCTAAAGATCTTGTCCGCTGTCTTGGTTAATATTTCGGCAGTCGCTTCCCATAGCTGTTCTATATCATTGTATTCTCTTTCAGAGTTCATGGTTTGTTCAAGTTGTTCTCTATAGTTTTGTTGTTTCTCTGAATTGTGTATTTCGTCCATGTTCCATTGTGGGTTTATTGTTGTTTTATTGTATTTGTGGCTAGATATTCTGGATTTGACTTTTGCTCTGACTAAGTAATGATCTGTATCTACGTCTATTCCTCTCAGGCTTCTTACGTCTATAATATTGTTACCATGACGGGCATCTACAATGATATGGTCAATTTGGTTTCGCGTAATATCGTCGTTTGAGACCCAGGTTTGCTTATGGATGTCTTTATGCGGAAACATGGTTGACTTTATTAGCATGTTATTAGCTGCTGCAGTTTCTGTGACTCTTGCAGAAGAGTCATGTCGCTTCTGCAATTTCTCCATTTCAAGCATGTTTTCATCATTCACTTTTCCTTAGACTACTTTATTTTGTTCCTTGTTAATTTATGTTTTTCTCTGTATTTGTCTGGATTTTTGTTTCCTATATTTTCTACTTTGTTCCACGATTTCGAGTATTTTTTGAGTCACCCTATATTTTCGGCTTTCTTATTTCTTTTGTAGAGTTTCATTTTGTGTGTTTATAACAGAATCTTTGATTTTGTTGCACATGTATGTCCATGCATGTCCATATTCTCAGCGTTTTTATTAATGGACGTCTCATTAAGTTCATGGTCGAACTATTGTAGCTTTAGAATTTTTATTGATATCGTTATTTTGTTCTCTTTTTGATTCGGTGTAAAACTATTTCATTTCCTAATTGATCTACCCAACTTATCCGTAATATTCGTTGGTAGATCGGCTTGTCAAAGGCCTCGCTCAATTTGTATTTCTAACAACCTTATCAGTGGCGCAACCAAGGGGGTTTTGGGGTTAAACTCCCTCCACAGGGCCCTATTCCGACACTGTTACTCACACATTTTAAGGATCATAAAATCGGTGCTAACCAAACCCCCCCCCCCCACAGAGGAAAATTGCGCTACTGAACCTTATATTAAATCGACCAAATAGGGTGATATCGGAAAACGGACTCATATTATTGCTTTAGATTTTTTACGCACTTACAGAAGAAAATCTGTCTTTGACAGTAATTTATTAATTTTTAAACGATGACAAGTGATTTTAGGCTGAAACATCTTTATGACTTTCAGTAAAGACTTTTAACATCTTATCATTTAAGCGTGTTAGTAATACAGAACAGTTAAACATATTTGTCGAAAAGATAAAATTAATCTTGCAGTAATATAATTTTAAATATTTGTATCTATTTAATTTAAATTCTTGGCGAATTTTTGCTGATTATTTTTGCATTGTTAGAAAAAGAACCAAATATTTAATATAACAGAATATGATTTGCAGTATGTCTTTTGATAAACACTTTAGGTCAATATAAGTTTATACAGGGTGCGGCATTATTGCGAGGAAGACCAATTACTCATTTCTCTTAGACAGCATAACTAATAAACCAAGTATAAAACTTATACTCAGAATAAATCAGGTATATGCAAAATCACTACCAATAAACATGAAATAACTTAGGTATAGGTTATCTATATGTAGGATCTATCTACAGCATACACAAGGAATAATATGAGGAAAATAACAATACCGTACATAAAAGGATTATCAGAAAAACTTAAAAGGATAGGAAATAAATTCAACATTTCAACAACATTCAAAACAACAAACACGTTGAGATCTATTTTATCCAAAACCAAACCTAACAATGAACAAGAAAGGACAAAGAATTGCATTTATAAAATACCTTGTGAATGCGATCTGTTTTAATTAGGTGAATCATCAAGGCCATTAAATGTTATAATAAGTGAATCATCAAGGCCATTAAATGTTATAATAAGTGAACATCAATCTTATATTAAAAATGGAGAATTTGATAGATCTCAAATATGTAAACACGCATGGGATAATGAACATAGGGTTCAATGGAATAATTCAAATGTAGTCCTAAAAGAAACGGATGGTAAAAAAGAAAAATCAAAGAAGCGGCTCTAATTATGCTAAATGAGGCCAATTGTGTTACAAATTCCTCGGCAGAATGTAGTAGGATCTGGTTACCAATATTGAAAGAGGAAGTTATTAATAAGAAAATACCAGTATTAGTAAGTCAGTAACATATAGAGGATACATCATTTATGTTTTTTAAATAACGTAACATGTAAAATCAGAATTTTGATGTTTGTTGAAGGTAAACTAAATTCACGAACAAATACTTACAATGTCGGGATAGTATTGTGAGGTTTTTTTCCTGGTTTTTCCCTCATAATTTACTATGGAATCACTAACAGGAGAATTTTACTGTCATCATGTCATGTGTTTGTCTTTTTAAAGACGAATTACATGCTATGATTTTTTTCTGACAGATATTCTCAAGTTAAAGTTGATTTCATGTAATCGAATGAACTATCTTATAAGTAAAGTCGTCCCAGGAGCGCAACTCAACAATATTGGTAATATCATTTTAAAGTCGTCTACTTTAAAATGCATAATGTATGTCTGAATTGTCAATATAAGTGAGTCAGATAAAATTAAATTATTAGAAGAATTTTTCACTATGTAACAAAAAACAAAATTTGTTTAATTTACTGTTTGTATTTTGAGAACAATTTCCGAAGTGGAAATTGAAACGTCAATAAACGTATTTTTATCTTTAATTGTGGCTTATTCCCAGTTAAATAGGGATAAAAAATGTTACAATTTCTTTGTTTAATTTTGTATATGTTCCTTTATCATCCATGGTTTGCAGCCACTCTTGTTGTGAGTTTCTTCTTCTCATGGCGCCGTCTCCTTTCAAAGGTTGGCGATCCAAATGGCAATTGTAGTTTTGGAAACTGCTCCGCGAAAGATTTCTGCGGATGAGCGGTCGAACCATCTCCTTAGGTCTTTCATCCATGAGTTCTGCCGTCTTCCTACTGATCTTTTGAGCTATATTCTCGATATTAGTTGATCTCAAGAATGGAGTATGCTTTTTGTTCCTAAGGCCTAGTTCCTTAGCTACACCGTAATTTAAATGAAAATGAAAAGTCATTTTGCAGTGCATCAACATTGTATTTTGTTCGGTCGGTCCATTTTGTAAATTTTTATAATAAAAAAAGTCCACTAAAAATTAAGAGTTTTAAAATATTTGTGCCCTTTCTAAAAACTAATTACCACACTTTCATTTTATCGTTAATTCATTAAATTATTTGTGTTTTTTCAGTGAACTTACTTAGTTTCACCGTAGCCAGCGGCTTCAGTTGGACCTCTTCCGCTCTACAGAAAATCTCATCCGACGATATGTCAGTAAACCCACTAGGTAAACCAGCAACTCCAACACAAGAATCATGGGTGGCATCGCTATACCCCTTGGGAGCAGCCGTTGGGCCCTTAATAGCAGGCAAATTATGTGACACTTTGGGAAGGAAGAGAACAATGTTAGCAATTGCTGTTCCAAAACTAATTTGCTTGATCGCTGTATGCTTTGCGAGTGATATTAGGATCTATTATGCCGCTAGATTTATTATGGGTATGGTCTTAGGAACTACCTTTGCTATACTTCCTTTATATTTGGCTGAAATTTCCGAGATACATAATAGAGGTACCATCTCATCAATTTTCAGCGTGGCTCTAAACTGTGGGATTGTATATTGTCTTCTTATAGGTCCTCTGTGCTCGTTAAAACTTCTAACCCTACTTTGTACTGTACCCTTGATTATGTTTATATTTATTTTTGGCTTATTTATACCAGAATCTCCGGTTTTTCTGGTATCTGTAGGTAAGCATAAAGAAGCTCTGAAAGTACTACAGAAGCTTAGAAACACAACTGATGTCAAGGAAGAACTACAAGAGATAACAAAATCTTTGGAACTACACTTAGCAGAAAAAAAAGGAGTTTGGGATCTGTTTAGAGATAAACAACTAAGGAAAGCATTAATAATAGTAGTCGGGTTGGTAAATGCTCTGCAGATTGCTGGGATCAATCCGATAGTGGCATTTTTGGAAGGTATTTTCCGAGCAAGTGGTTCCAACATGTCTGTTTATTTAACAACAAATTTAACAGGAGTCCTTCAAGTTATAGGTACTTTGATCACTGTTTTGATAGCAGAAAAATTTGGTCGAAAGACGTTATTGATATTTTCAAGTGTCGGTGTTTTAATTTCCCACGTTATTCTTGCTATATATTTCTTTTTAAATCAGATGCATTATAACGTAGAAAATATATCATGGCTACCAGTAGCTAGCTTGTTCTTCTATATGTTAATGTTTAATTTGGGTATATCCGCGATGCCCTTTGCAGTCATGGGAGAAGTTTTCATTCACAGTGTCAAAGCAAGCGGTGCATCCATTGCTACATTTACGAGTTTTCTTACTTCTTTTGTAATTACGTTAGCTTTTCGAATAGTATTTTCCAAGTACGGTTTATCATATTGTTTTAGTGGATTGACTGTGTTTATTATACTTGTGTTGTTGTTTGTGTATTTTGTCGTGCCGGAGACAAAAGGAAAAAGTGAAGCTGAAATTCAGCAGTTGTTAAAAAAGTAAATTTGTTATTTATTTATAACATTAGCTTAAGTTAAATAAATTCTATAAAACAATGTTTGGATTTATTAAAAATATTTTTACGTTCCATTGTTACACTTCTCATATCAGTTATTTCAAAGGTTAGAGAGAATGAAATTATAAAAAACTTTTTATGTAAAATATAAAAGGCCTGTACTGCCCTACTAAGCGAAAAGGGGGTATCTACACTTTTTTCCAAAAATGAGATATTAATGTCTAGTCAATAATTACACCTTATTCTATCTAATACTAAAGTAAATTGGTCGTATCTACTTTACAAATATTATATTTTAGGCTATATATTTAGAGGTATCTACAAAGCATACGTTATATACTAAGCAATTTGGCGGTAACTACTGATACTAGGCAATAATGGTTGTATCTACACGAACTTGTGCAGTTACGGCTGGAACTGCTTAGTACACGTCACTTAATGCCAGAATCGCTTAGTAATTTTATATAATAGTAAGCACATTTATTCATCGTGTCTAGACATATCATACACAAAAATAGTATTTCTTTTAGTTTATTTGTTTATTTTTAGTGTAATACAACCTAGTAATATTAAAGTGTGTATTTAAATATTCAATTGTAAACATTGAAATATTGAATAGTGAATGATTTACTACAGATTTAGAGGTAAGTTGTTTATTTTGCTACCATAACCTCAAATTAAAATGTGTAGACTGATTTGTTTTACACGACAAAAAAAGGAATTTCATTGCGAATTTACTTATTTAGTTACTGATTCTTTGCAATGTTTTTACAAATTGAAGATACTTAATAACGAAATCATTTGTCATTTATTAATGCATTTTATTACAATCTAACTTTTGTGTTTATGGATAGAAAGTCGTGTAAAACATTTTTTTATTTTAGATGATGTAGTCTGACTTGTTTTACACGACAAAAAAGTACTACCAATTTCATTGCGAATTTACTTATTTCATTTAATTACTGATTCTTTGCAATGTTTTTACAAATTGAAGATACTTAACAACGAAATAATTTGTCATTTATTAATGCATTTTATTAAAATCTAATTTTTGCGTTAATGGATAGAAAGTCGTGTAAAACATTTTTTTTTATTTCAGATGAGTAAAAGTAGAGGAAAAAGGTTGTGTGACTTAGCTATGGCCAGCTCAAAATACATTAGTAGTGGTGTGGAATGGGAAAATATGATTGAAAATGCGGCAATTGTTTTATTGGAGAATAGTGATATTCAAATTCCAGCAAATTCTGTTGATACAACAAACATTACAAATTTGCTTTCAGATTCAGAAACTTTTATAGAAGCTGAAGTAAATACGTTGGAACTACCTGATTTGGGAACAAATATGACAATGGAGGTCGTATTGGACACTAATCCTGAATTAGCCAGCTATAATTGTAAAAATGAATTTCAGCCTGCCAGTTTAGAAGATGGTGGAAGAGAAATTGAAGAAAGAGATGAAAAAGAAATAGACACACGCTTTACTAAGAAAGGGGAACAACGAAGACGTAAAAAATTTAAATATTCAATTAGAGAAAGAAAAATAATTAAACAGAATAAACTAAAGGATTCACATTCTGTTAGGGATGGATGTGGTAATAACTGTAAGAAAACATGTAACACAAAAATAAATCAGGAAAGAAGAATTGATATAAACAATCAGTTCTGGAATCTAGACCGTCAACAACAGCATCAATTTATGTTGTCCAGTATTAGCCAGACAAACGTAAAACGTAAAACTGTTGGATTAGGTTCTCGAAGATCGAATACTTTAAGCTACTCTTTAAAAACGGCGGACGGAGAATGTAAGTCAGTCTGTAGAACCTTTTTTCTTACAACTATAGGGTTTCACAAAAATAATGATAAAATTCTACAGAGGTTTCGTAAATCTTCGAACTTATTAATCTCACCAAGGCCACATAAAAACCGTGGAAGTCTACCTCATAATAAATTGGATCATACAGTAATAGTAAAACATATAGAATCTTTCAACCCATCGATATCTCATTATCGTAGGGAACATGCACCTAAGCGACGTTATTTACCAAGTGATGTAAACATCAAAGATATGTTTAGCAATTTTCAAGAGAAGAATCCTAAAATAACTTGTTCTTATGATTTATACCGCTCAATAGTACAAAAGTTAAATATATCTTTTGTAACGTTGGGTCACGAAGAATGCGAAATGTGTGAGCATTTTAAAATCCATCCACACTCTGAAGAAAATTTACAAAATGATTGTTCCGAGTGTCAGAGGTGGTCCAATCATATAAAAAGGAATAAAGATGCACGTCTGCTGTACAAAGAATATGCCAATAAGATACCAGAAGAAGGAGAAATCATATATTCCGTTGATTTGGAAAAAGTAATAATGTTACCCCGGTGCGACATGTTTAAATCGGTTATATTTACTCAAAGATTGATTGCTTATAACGAAAGTTTCGTTCCGGTAGGGACTAAAAACAGAAACATTAAACCTGTAGCTGCAATTTGGCACGAGGCAATTCAAGGGCGAAAAAAAGAAGATATAATAAGTACCTATCACAAATTCTTAATATTTCAGAGAGATGCGAAAAAAATTGTTCTATGGGTAGATAATTGTACCTCTCAAAATAAAAACTGGGCGTTTTTTACGTTTTTAGTTTATATAATAAACTCAACTGATGTTTCTGCTGAAGTAATAGAAATAAATTACTTCGAACCAGGTCACACATTTATGAGTGCCGACGCATTCCACCATCAAGTAGAAAAATCTCTACGAAAAACTAAGAAAGTTTACGACTTTCCAGATTTTAAAAAAGCTGTTCTACAAGCTAATTCTGGGAGGGTTATAGTTTTGGAAATGGAACTACATGATTTCTATGACTGGCAGGATTTTTCATCTGCTTATAAACTTAAAAATGCACATAGTGAGCGGCCATATATTCAGGATATTGTTCAAATCACAGCCCACAGGGGATCAATGTCACTAATTTATAAAAACAATTTTAGTGGCCCTGATTTAACATTAAATTTTTTGAATGCAAAAATTACAAAGACTGGAATAATACCAGCTCCAGGAACCAAAGAAAACCCAAGAGGCATCACAGAAGAAAGACGAAATAATATTATTTCAAAGCTTTTAGAAGCCGACAATGCCATCATGCCAAAAAATCGTTTAAATTTTTGGAAAGAAATACCTACCACTCATTACCTTGAGCAAAATAATGATGATGATTAATAATTAATTTAGTATTTAAGTTATTTTGTGGAAATTACTTTGATAATTAAACCAAATCATGTAAAAATAAATGTGTACATTTAGATACTGTGTTTTTATCTTAGTATCTAACCTATAATGGTTTCTTAATAATGGGGGTAACTACAATTTTTTTAGTAAAAAATTTAAATTGCCTAATTTTATTATATTTATAAAAAAAACAAAAGAAAACTATGTATATTTTCGATTTAAACTTAAATATTATACACAAAACAACAATGCGAATAAACGAAATCTAAATACCTTCTTAACTGAAAACAATGTAAATTACAGATACCCCCTTTTCGCTTAGTAGGGCAGTGTAAGTCAAATGGTAAAGATTGAAAATCGGTGGTATTAAGGGTTGCCGAAGCTTTAACTATAACAAAACTCTAAGAAAAATTTATAGTTTATAAAACGTCTCGGAAAATCCTACTTCCACGTCCCCGTCTTTACTCCTGGACAATGCGTTATGAAGCAAGCAATATTTAGCCAACTGAAGGAGGTGGCAGGCAAGTTTCGGCGTGTAAAAACTGAAAAAAATTCAGCTAAGTGAATAAACCCTGGAGTAACATTCTGGTCTTGGATGAACATTCCGGTCTTGGAGGAACATTCCGGAGGTGAAACCTGGTCAACGGCAGAGGATACTAAATCAAGAGGAGGATAAACCTCGACTTCTCGGATGAAAAGCGACTTGTAAATGAAACTAGACAGTCTCGGCACATAACAAATACAAATTGCTTTCATATTCTGTGGCCTCGGAGCTATGCTATGCAAAATGATGTTTGGCGAAGTTCATGGAGAATATCCTGATAGACAGTCAGTTGTTCCATGGCCGCTCGACCTTACAAGAAACTATGCGTAATTTTTAACAGCATAAACAAAGGTACCTATAAGTAAAAATAATTTTAATAACATGCTCAATTTCAGATACCCTCACTTTTTGGTAATAAGCCAATCGTTACATCAATTCTAGAATAAAGCTCTAGAAGAAACTTCTAGAGATGTTGGGATTGGTTGTTTGTTTTTTCTATCCAACGCCTGTCTGCTAGATTTCGTATTCGGATAACAGAACTGCGAAGAGGTGGTTCGGTTTGCTTTTGGTCTGATAGGTAGTCACTATACTTTGTGCACTCCTACGATTTGGTGGACTTAATTTAAAATTTTTAAGAAAATATAAAGCTAGATGTGTTTTATATACTTAAACATCTTAGATTTTTATTACTTCCGATTTTAATAAAATGTATATTGCGTAGTTCTGTGTACAAACTACAAATATTTTGTGGGATTGGCAACACTGCGACGAGAATTGTCAGTCTTGGTCAAGATTTCTAGATAGGATCCTATGGAAGGTCCATTCGCTTAGTTTGGGCACATAATAAATAACAATCAGTGACATTTTAAATGGTTTCTTCTTCTTCTTCAAGTGCCCTGTCCGTTGCGAACGTTGGCTATTAACATGGCAATTTTGATCTTGTTTGCGGCGCTTCTGAATAGTTCGACCGATGTGAGCCCGAACCACTTCCGCAGATTTTGGAGCCACGAGTGTCTTCTCCTGCCTGGCCCTCGCTTACTGTCTATTTTTCCCTGGACAATCAATTGTAGCAGACGGTACTTATCGTGTCTCAATATGTGGCCTTTAAATGGTTTGCATAGAAAAATTAACCCGGTTTAATTTATTTACGGCAAGCAAAGACATAATATGCACTATTTTATTCGTACTTTTAGTTGATGAATAGATTAAATTATTTCAAATTTACTACATCATTAATCTCTAAAAATTTAAATTACAGTTCTG